AATCAAGCCTAGAATCAAAACCAAGGATCAAGCAGGCAATAATCCTGCAATCAGTTTCTGTAAATGAATAGGCATAATCTCAAGAAGTTTACTAGAAGAGCTGGTATGAAATCATGTATTTAAACGTATATGTTTTCATGTATTTTGTGTGATTGAAATACACAGTAACATTCAGAAAAGGAAAATATTTGCACATTCAAACTTTGTCATGGTATCAGAGCGATCTTCTAACGAGACTTTGATCCTCAATCCCACCCACAACCCATTCTCCCCAACAGATTCTCCATTGATAGCTTTGAACATTTCGGCACAAATCAACGAGAAACTCACTCCCTCTACTTTTCCCCAATGGTGTGCCCAATTCGAGGCCCTCCTCATTGGGTATAATCTCTCGATCACTCCTGCCCCAACCAAACTGGCACCCCCACATCTTCCCTCAACAAAACCCATTGGGTGAGGCAGGACAAACTCATCCTCTGCGCTATTCTGGCGTCCACCGCAACCACCATCACTCCGCTCATCTCTGTTGCTAAAACCTCCCAAGAAGCATGGCAAAAACTCAACACTCTCTATGCGAGCAAATCCCGAACTCGGGCTATGCAGCTTAAAGAGGAACTCACTCTGATGAAAAAGAGAAATCAAACCATTCAAGAATACCTGTACATCGTGAAGTCCCTTGCAGATGAAATTTCCCTAATTGATCATCCTATTTCTGATGATGATCTCACTTTATACATCCTGAATGGCTTGGTGCTGATTATCGAGACATCGCCGCACCAATTAGGGCTCGAGAAAAATCTCTGAGCTTTGAGGAACTCCACAATTTACTCGTGGGTCATGAGGCTTACCTGCGCCGTCTTGAAGCCTCTACCTAGTAGCTGATTGCCACAGCTAACTACACAAATTGGCGTCCACAATCGCCTTTAACAACAAGAAATTCCGGCTCCTCTTCTGAGGGCTCTTTCAGGCAGCAGTAAATAGGGGTCGTTTAGCCCCATTCATTTTCACACTTAGGCCCACGTGACACCACACTCATAACAACTTGGGCCGGTCCATGTGTCAAAGACGTTTTTAGCTCAAATGTCAGTTTTGTGATCAATTGGGCCACATTGCCAAACAGTGTCCGAAATTGTCACCTTCTAACTCCACAGCAAATTGTGTCTCCACTTCTCAACAACATGATACCAAATGGCTTATCGACTCTGCTACTTCTCATAATATTACTGGAGACTTGGGAAAACTATCAATTCATTCGGAATATGATGGCACCGATGAAGTTGTCATAGGTAACGGTACAGATTTGCGTGTCTCGCATATTGGTTCATTGGTTTTTCAATCACCCACACGCACCTTCCACTTAAAAGACACACCTTGTGTTCCAAGTATTCGCAAACTTAATCTTCGTTCACCATTTTACAACTCAAAACAAAGTTTTTCTTGAATTTCACCCCAATTATTTTCTTGTCAAGGATCAGATCATGGGGGCAACTCTATTCAAAGGTAGATGTGAAATTCATTCAGCCCCGACAAGTCATCCATGATATTCCAAGATTGTGTCAATGTGAAATCAATAGCTTTTGACCCAAAACGGCATGTTGTCGTTTTAAACGTATGACTGCTGTTTTTCAGACTGGTTAATTTGCATAGTCAATAATGAGAGATGCTGCAGATCCAGGGCCAAAACCAGGCCCAAATCCAGGGGGACCGAGCTGGATGCACCTTGGCCCTTGATTTTAATTCATGTGGGGTCCTCTTCCTTTAAATCAGGGGTTGAGGTGATGACACCTCAGCCACCTGGATTCTGGTCGGTCCTTCACCTTGGCCGACCAGCATTTTTCAGTCAATAATACAATCTGTTATTCCATAAATAGACATGCTGTTAGACAAAATCAGCATCCAGGCACCTGTTTTCCAACTAAATCAATCAAAACACTACCATCTAAACAGAATTAGCATCTAAGTCATAAGTCCTCTGACCGTATGAAATAGCACTAACTACACAAAATCAGCATCCATGCACTTGTTTTCCAACTACATCATATAAAACACTACCATCTAGAGAAAATTATCATCTAAGTCTTATGTCTTTCGACCACATGAAATTGAAAAATATACAAAGAAAACAATTATGGATCAAAATGCATAGCAAAAACTTCAGCAGCTAGTTTCTTCCTCCAACAATCAATCATATCATCAGATATAAGTTTTACGTCTAATCCATTCGACAAAAGTTCTATAAACTTGATAGTGTATATATCGCAATCTCCCTTGCATAGATATTTGCAATAAGAAATATAACATATAGAGTATCAGAGCAAGGAAAATATAAAGAAGGCTAAATATGGATAACTTATGCATTGTTTTGTTGGGGAACATCTGAATGATGACATCAATAAAACTGGTTTTTTAGATAATCTTCCCAAAACAACAAACTTTCGTTCATCATTCTAGGAATCACCTTCACAATTGGACGCATGATTTTTTGTAATTTTCCAAAACGTGTGCTACTCTTCATGCTGTCGTATACGTATATAGTTCGCTCGACAATGTCCACATAAAGAGTAATCCAGTGCTTCGTTTCCACATTTCAGGGAATATACAACAACGTACAAGAATCTCATCGATTGCTCCTCTCCGAACTTTTACCATATATGTATCTTGACATATTTTTCAACCATTTGAAGTCATGTACTGGCTTTTTTTCTTTCATATGCAACTCAAAATCTTCAAACCTCTTACTGCACATATTGGTAAAAGCACAATCTTGTGCGAACACAGTAGGATGTGTCTCCATTTGTGTCCTCATCAAGTACAATGCTATGTCAATGTGCTACAAATGTATACAATTATTGAGAATGAAATGAAGTATGAGCAAAATATAGATGTAATGTCAATGTGCTACAAATGTATATAACTATTAAAAATAAAATGAAATAGGAGCAAAATATAGAATGTTAAAAAGATTACATCACTACTGAGCCATGCATGCTGCTTCTGAATATCTTCAAAAAAACGTTTTGGCTTCATAAACAATATCATTTCAACATGTTCACTGCATGAAATAAATCACATAAGAATATATATGTTGTAACTTCACAAAAACAATTACACTAAGAATAGTTACCTATCAGGTGCATTACCCAACCAATTCTCTAAGTTATATGCCTTAGACGAATCAAGCTCTGGAAATGGGTCAAATGTGTTGATATTGTCAAGCTTCCTTTTCTTCTCTGGATTTGTAAAAGGAGATCGAAGAACGAGTGACCTTTTCTTAATTCTCCTTCCCCTCCATTCTGACTTAAGTCATCAGACTCATCTTCTACCACTACAAGGACGGACTCCACATGAGTTTGATCATCATTCAACGTGTATGTTACTTGTCCTTGCTCATTTTCGACTTCTACGGGAATTGGATCCTTATTCACATTAGCTATTTGTTTTGGTTCATTGCCATCTATTTCCACATGTTCATTTACCAACAATTCATCACATGCTTGTCTTTGCTCATTGTCATCTTCATTCTCATCATTTTCCACATCTACAAGAATTGGATCCTCATTCACACCAACACGTTCCTCTCCAGTATTCATAAATACACCACGAGGAGGAGAGTGATATATGTCAGGTGTTGATGGGTTAAAATTCTTAATCCACTACACAACGTATGATACATTCTCGTCAATTTATGTATACAAAGATGCAACACAATCAAACTTTTGATCTATGTAGAAACGTATCTCCTCTATTCTCCTTTCATTTTTCCTATCTAAAGTCTCTACTATCTGTACTAATTGCATCTTTAATTCCTCAGCGAACTCATCTCTAGATGGATAAAGAGACGGATATGATGTACATGGTCCCGGATGAAATATATGAGCCTTTGTAGAAGTAGGTGACCTACGAAAAGATGATGGATCCCAAGGAGATGTAAAGGCATTAGGAGACTGATAAGTTTGCTGATGAAAGTCAGCACGAATGGGGGAATCCGCTTCATTTACATTATCGACAAAGACATCAACTGTTGGATCCTCTACTTCATCGCTGAATGGATGAATCTCCATCCAATATGCTTTAGAAGCCTCTTCCAACGTAGG